TGAAGATCTTCTCTCTCTCTGTAGTAACTGGCAGGATGTGTATCTGTCCTGATTGGATTTCACAAGATGTCCACCTTTTCTAGCATATAAATATCTTTAAAACTGGCCCCAAGGACCTTCTATGAGAAAAAAATAAAAACAAAACCAAGACTAAAATACTTCAAAACTATGTCCTTCAAAATATTCCTAAATATGCTTGTAAGGACTTCACTGAACCTGTAAACTATGCAAGCCCATAGTATTCCAATTTATGAAGTCATAATGGATTAAAAGGGAATAAGGTATTTAATAGCAGCAAAACAACCTGATCTTCTCATTTCCAGGAACTCAAGATTTTCTGCTTACGCAAGCATGCTTCCTATTTAAACAATTCTGCTAAGTACAGAAAATTGTATGTAAATTGCCTCACTTTGAAAAAATAATAAATGAGACACAAAACCAGGAGCACTCTCAATTTCAATAATAGCGCCCCTCTAAAAACTCTCTACTAGGAAAAAGTAGAGTGGAACAAATATAAGCTGCAGAATGCAGTACTGGGTACAATCACAAACAAATTCACAAACGTTAATGGTCTAGGTTGCGTCTAGTGGGACAAATGCAAATTGACTAAAAAACAGAAACAAGAAATCCCCAAACCCTAACAATCAATAACGGGGCCTGATTTTTGTCAGACAAAAGATGAGGAAGCGAAAAGGAATTATTGGTGAGTTATGCTCCATTAGTTGCAAATCTAGGTGAAATAACCCTTTGTATTTGCTTCAAAAAATGTCATCCTGGATGCCATTTTCAAGGAATTCAGTCTGACGTTAAAAGACATGTCATAACTTTGAGGATCCGGTTTCCAGAGTCACAGAAATCTGTTTATATAGCTCATAATGTAATTACAGCTACCTTAAGACAGATGAGGCAGAAGGCAGCAATATATTGAAAACTAATTGAAAAATGCAGTTGTCCAGAAGCACTTGTGGGGAAGAGGTCTCTGAAAAGCTGCTCAAAGCTTCAGAGTTTGAAGTGAAATTTTTGATGTTGTCACTCTCAATCTATTGAAGAGCTGACAGACAATCAAACCCGTCTGGCTGGCTGGCAGCTCATTTTGCTGGCAGGTGGCAAACAATTAGACACACCAATTTGTGCCTCCTGATGACATTAAAGCATGAAACTAAGTTGTATGCAGGGCCTAGTGATTTGTGTGAAAGCATTTCAAAAATAATACTCTTTGCCGTGGCAACTCATTTCAGACTGCCACCTCCCATTACGGCTTTGAGCGGTGAAGACGACAGACTTGAGTTACGTGCGGCGCGAGGCCGCTTCTGTTCAATCCGTCACCGGCGCCCCCCGAGACCTCAATCCCCTCCTTTCATCAATATCACCTCATCATTTACATTCGATAGTACTTGAACCGCCGCATACATTAACTACACACCAGTCCTATTTGACAAAACGCGTTGGGCACATTTTCTGCTCTGAGATTTCATTTATAACTGCATCAATTCTAAAGAAGAATACACCGCAGCCTATTACACAATGACTCTTACGAACATATTAGCGATGTGCAATTAAAAGAAGACGCAGAGCAAAACGCACCACACTAAATGATACAACAGAACTCTTAACGGCGATTCTATTTACAGGAGCTTGCTTTGTACGGCATTCACCTGCGTGTAAGGTCAGTCGTTATAGTTAAACAGATATCTTTGAAACAACAAAGAAACTGTTATTTTTCTGCTAATTACTTATTACCTCAACTCTTCTTTTACAAGGCACTCAGGCATCCAATCGCAAAAATGAGATACGAAAAGTCTAGCCTCACAAGGTCTAAGAAAATCTTTCGATTAAAGTGAAAAATACATTTCCCTAATCCTGATTTCCTTATATAGAATCACTGTGTATATTTTATAAAAACTGAAACAAATAAAACCTGACAAAGCAATACACTCCATTGCCCATGATTCTCCCTAGAGAGAATAGCCACATTGCTCAGTGAAGTACCAAAAGCTGTATAAACTACAGCAACAGAAGATCCGACAGAAATATAATCCACAGGCATAGTATTAGCTTTTAAAAAATATGTAGTGAATATCATTTAATTGTTAGTTTATATTAGTAAATACAATTATATTTACATAAGCAAGCATAGAAAAACAATCCAACTGTAATTTTTTTCAGTTTTTCGAAGATAATCAGGATATTATAGGCAAGAGAAAAATCCATAAACCATCACAAACTAAAATCCATGTTGCTTTCTTAATATTGCAATTAATTCTAATGTCATTTCAATACACTAGTCAAAGTTTGTCCCTCCTAACCTTTGTTTCACCCCTCCCCCATCAAAAGTCAGGCTGTCAGTCTGCACCTCTGTTGTAATCTGAAAAAGAAAAGTGCCACCACCACCCATCTTCTGCCTCCAAAGATTGCCACACTGGTCAGATAAGTACATTGAAAATATCATCATTCAGTAATGCAGCCACGAGGTGCAACCAATCAGCTGAGGTCCCGTGGGCTACGAATATCAGCAGTTTTAGCGGGATGCTCATAGTTCAATAACACTCGTTTCAATTTTGGTAAGAATTCAACACTTCCTGATCTGCTGGGACCTGCCTGAACCTGCCAATTTTGGTTGTATTAAAAAGCATGACCTACCTCACTCACCAAAATCAGACAGCAGGATGGTCTATTGAGGAGATCAAAATATCCCAACAAAATTGAAACAAACAGGCCTTCTTTTGCCTAAAATTCAATCATTCCCACTTTTTTTTTTTTTTTCTGAAGAAGTAAACAATGCCAGGGTACCAATGACATGGTATAACACAGGCTACCAAGTTACAAACATAGTTGTGCACTTTGTACAGTAAATTGTAGCAACACAACTTGGTCAGCAGAGTAACAGGACCGGGAAAAAACAAACCATTAAACTCTCTAGGCTCCTAAGCAAACTTATTAAGTATGAAATGCCCACCAAAATCCGTAAGCTCTACACACAAAGCACCTCTCAAATAATTCCATAATTCTGTATTAGGAACTACTACTAATGACGTCCAAAATGTACAAGCAGTCACATTGTTGCAAATGTTGCAAAAGAATCAAATGGAGGGGCTCACACTAAATACAGGTTGTGGCCAACCTACTGCAGCCCATTAGCGATATTTAATGCTTTCTTACAAAGCTATAATTTAGAAATGTGGAATAAAGCTCATCTCTTCTATGACATTGATTTTAAGTTCCCTGTAACAATGCCAAATACATCTCATGAGGTGGTATGCTCCATTTTAATATAGGTGTCTAGCGTTTTGTGAATTAATAATAACCTCCTGAACGAAGTATTTTTCTTAATTGACCAAGGTAGAAATTCAGCCACATAGGTTCAACTAAAGTAACCTTTTGGTGGTTATGGTTAGGTGCTATTAATTCTACATGCAGCACAAATTTATGTACTGCTTAATGTACAGGAATGCATCTGGAATATGAGTTCTTCACAGAAGATAAGGAAAAAATTCCTAATTGTATACGAAAAAAAATATTTTTAATTGACAATGAAACCACTCTAAAATAGACTGCAGACTGATGAACAAAAAAATCCTCTGAATTACATAGTTGCTAAAAGAGCTTTCTCTGAAACAGCCTTGAAACCTAAAATATTGTTAGAAAGAGATACAATCGTTGCTTTTAAAGCACATTTCTGTCTTCCTATCTCGATCCCATCTTCCTTTTACAACACATGCTACTTGGTTGTTTATTGAAAACCTAAAATATTTTTAGAAAGAGATACAATCATTGCTTTTAAAGCAAATTTCTGTCTTCCTATCTCGATCCCATCTTCTTTTTACAACACATGCTACTTGGTTGTTTATTGAATTATTTCAGAAAATCAGCCTCACTACTAACATATATGTACAGACATAAAGGCATTAGCTTTTCTATGGAATTAATAATGAAATAGTGCTTCTTCACTTTTATTCTAGAATTCTCATATATCTTCTTGCACTTTACTGTTTGCATTATGCTGAACACATTGTACATTGTTTTTCTTAAGTCTTTAATGAAGGCATTTCTGGCATTTGTGCAGTTTTTCTATTTTTTAGCCATTTTCTTGTTTTTTCTTTCTTCCAGAATTTTAGCTCTTGTACCTGCATGATGAACTAATATATTTCTACAAGTTTGTTTAAAGCTTTGAGACATTATCATGTATTTGAGTAGTCTTGATTCCTTTTTTTTTTAGTTTTTTAAAAACTATTTTTTATAACATTTAATGAAGAAACTGCAGGAATCTTGTCACACTGGAAAACGTAATCACATCAACAGGCATAAGAGTTAGCTCTTTGCCCAGGTTACGACTGAGCCCACAATGGAACAGGTTACCCTTCTTCTGGAAGGATGTTGTTGATTGCACAACTTATCACAACTTCTATGTTCAGGATAACTGAGACGAATTGGACATTTAAAAGAAAAGTATATTCACAAGTAGCTTGGAACATACAGCCTAAAAAGGAAACAAAAGACTCCTTGTGGAAATGTTCAGCAGTTTATTTTTAAACATTAACTTTTGAGCATATTTGCTTTATAAAGACCTAAAAGGAAACTGGTTTCCACCATAACCATGCAAACAATTTGCCATGGTTGAAGCATTTCAGTAACAGAAAACAGTGCAATGATGGCTCCAATTAGGATTTAAACCTTTGAAAGAATATTTGACTTAATTTCTGCAGAGTCAGACTGTTCTACATCAGCAGATATTTTATTGCAAAAATATTTCTTTAGAACAGGATGGTTTTCCAAGTATCTCATAGAGTTTTATTCACTGCTGATAGAGAAAAAAAGGTGAGTTATTTTTGTCTACACTGTACAGTCTGTTTTGATAACACAGAAAAGGAGAAGTCATGCAGCTGGTTTTTAATACAGTCTAATACAAACAAACAGAAGTATAACCATGTTTAAAAAAATAATCTTTCAAACTTCTGAATTACACCAATATAATAATAATAATAATGAATCCAGCCATATACCTGTCAAATGAGTGAAACTGCATGGGAAGAATTGCTTGAGCTTCTCTCTTCAGTGCAGGATCTGGGTAAGGAATTGGATCCGGACCACATTCTGCAATTTCAACAGGGGCTGCCACAAGACTTTTCAGTATTTCCTTGACATTGATGCCTTTACTTTGGCTGATACTGGATATCGATGATGCAGGTTTCAAGATTTCACTGGGGCTTTCTGTTAAGCTCTCCTGAGATTTCTTCACTTCCGAAGACAAAGTAGACAACAGCTCACTCATAGCATCAGGGCCAGTGCTGGTCTCCAAGTCTGTCCCATTCAAAATACTGGGCATCTGTTCATCTCCAATTCCAGAATCTGTATGAGGAATAGAGCTTTCCAGCTGAATATCTTCAACTGGTGTGGGTGTTTCTTTATCTTTGATATTTTCTGGAAATACAGTTGGTGTGTCTGCAGTGAAATAAAGATTATGAACAATATTTATAATTTAGTTTGAATGGTTTTTCCCCAAAAAATATCACAATGAGATTTTACAAGACAGAAATGTACGTGTTAGAAAGCCCACAAATCTTGGGGGCCTTAAAAACTCATTCTACATACAAAACATGTTCTTTCCAACAGCCTTTGGCATATATAAAGGCTTGGAAGAGGAAACCCAAAGTTGCGTTATGCAAGCTCAGTGACATTTATAAATTAAACCCCACTACTCACACAGTAACCAAATAGCAAAATATTGCCAGCAAATCACCATTAAAAATTATAACCTGTGGACTGCATATCTGTATGATCTGTGAAACTACTGGAAGAGAAAAATGCAATCATTCATGCTTTTGGATCACTAGAAAATGTAGTCATTTTATTGTTGTCAGCAAATATTAAGCTTGTATTCAAAAGCAAATTGCTAGACCTTTTGTTTGCTTTGTCTTTTGTTTAAAATGTGTATTATACACATTTTTACACATGTACCATTACAATGAATACAAATTTATTTATACAAGAATATAAAAGGAAAGCATTATTGTTGATTCTTTAGATAACTCTCTTCCACATAAGAGGTAGAATCCTGTCATTCTTTCTGGCAAATGCTAAGAACAAAATAAACACAGCTGTACAGAGACGGGCAAGTGAAATCTGTTGAGTTTGGAACATTTCCAGATTGAAACGGACTCTACAACATCTTGTAACCGAGAAAAGCATACCTCTATTAATTACTCCAGTGAAACAGCACAACAACTTCATTAAAAAAGAGTAATTTGCTATGCTTAGTGGAAAGTTAGCTAGAGTTGTGAATAATTTCCATATTCTTCTTTTGTTTACGTTTTTGGAAGCAACAGACTGTGGCTATTTCTAATGACAACAAGCTTGTACTCAAACTGATTTTTAAATTTATTTTCAAACTACCTTATTTTCATTGGATCACTTGTCTTGATTATAAAATTCAGTTGCCTTATGTATGAATTAGGAATACTTTTTTTTTTGAAATGGTTCTGATACAACAGTAAGTTTAGATATTACAGAAAATATTTTACAACATACTTTGATGAAGCTCTGCCCTTCTGATTAATCCAAATAAAACGTCCTTCAACAATATAAATTTAATAGCAATCACATATCTTATTACCAAATGTTTGTTACAGTCAGTTTACCACATGGTTACAAGTGCATGTGTATGCATGCTCACATAAAAAATTCTGCATGAAATTATTTATGTTTGAACTAATGGTAGTGTAAAACTCTATGTCTACAAGTATTAACAAACAGATATAGATAGAAGAGGCTTTTAAAAATACAAAGCAGAATGACCCACTATAATGAGTATTGTTTTCTTCTTTTAACAGTCATAAGATTCCATTTATTATGTAAATGAAAAGAGGACACTGAAAAAAGAAGATGGTTCACTACACAATGAAGTTAGAGTACACCTAACCTCAATCTTCATTAAGGTCAACAATGTTGAACACAAAACTAAAGACAGTAAATCTAATGGAAACGCAGTTGTAGAAATTCAAATACCCTAACTAAACCAGAAGAAAGACTTTAATGTATTAAAATCATGTGAATGAATTGACTTTCAAGCCAATTTTGAAAGAAACAGTCTATGAAATTACTGGTCTAGCAAGTACTTTTGCCAAAGAGGTAAGTGGAGATAGCAACATACGACTGGAGAATAGCACACACGGTTTTTCTTTTTAAGAACTTGGAAAAAATTTTCTGGACAACTACAAGCCTTCAACAGCAAGCAAAATTTCAGGATTTATTTTGGAGTAAAGAATAGCAATGGAATGGAACAAGACAGATTACAAAATGGCTTTGCTAAAAGAGCTTTAAAAATATTTATTGCTCAAATAAAATAAGGGCCAATGTAGTGAAATTCAGTAAAGCTTGGTTTGTCACAACAGATACCAATTTAGTCAGGAGAACGTGGAAAGTGATAGAAGGTGAGAAAAGAAACTGGCTAAGAAAAAACTTCAGACTGAGGAAAACCGCTATGGGAGCTATCTCTTTTTATAAAGAGATTTTAATAAAGATTTCAGGTGAAAAAGTAAAAACGTTTCGGTGAAATTTCCTGATGACAAAGTTACAAGATACAATCAATGCACAGAAAGACGATTATAAGAAGGTATTATGACAGAACTCCAAATTACATTTAATAGCTAAAAGCTATGCATCCAGTGACTAACACAGAGATTCCCTTTGTAACTGGATTTATCAACTGGAAATGACTGAAGAGAAGGACTTGGATATATCAGTCACTGGGTAATTATTCAGTTACCAATAAGCACTGCTATGGAAAAGGGAAATGTGATTCCAAACTTTTCTGAAGAAATTGCTCCTGCAAGAGTTAAGTATTAATGGCATCAGAGAAGGCATTGATTGAGTTTATTATGGAATACTGTGCACCCCGTTTTAGTTAAGGAAGATGAAAGTGCCACTATGGAGATCCATCGTGATCGACTGTTACAGAAAAAAAGAATTTGGCAGGTATAGTCTGGCCAAAATAATACTGAGAGGGTGTACAATAACTATTACACATATATTTTCAAGACACAAACTCCAGAAAAAGGATTTAAGCTAAATGGAAGAGTTGGCATGAGAAAAACTGAGAGCAAACTCATTAGGAATACATTTAAACTGAGAAGCGACAGCCAGCACTGTGGAATTCAGATTCTGGAAGAGCCTTCCAGTTAGAGTAGCAAATTCAAAAATCAGAACTATTTCAAGACTCTATAAATAGGACTGCACTTAATTACTCAGCAGATGCCTTGTAATCCTTTCTTCCCAAATGAGAATAAAACGCTGAGAGGATTGCACCATTTGAAGTTAAAAATGGAAGGAAAATTAAATTTGTGAATATAGAATTTAGATATGACATACTATGCAATACATAACACTAATTAAAATGATTTAAGAAAAAAAATCAAAATAAGTTATTCTATATACAGCTAAGTATGGATACTTGATAGCCACAGAAATCAGACTTGCATCATTACTTTTCTTACTGTGTAACCAGTACCTAACATGAATAGGTTGCACTGAGCAATTTCTGATTCTATCTGATTTCTCACTATGAAAACCCGTCTCTAAAAACTACCTAAATGAAATACATTAACTCTCATTTTTAAAATATCAAGCAAGCTAAATGAATATGGGTTTAAAAAGGTCCAATTTACTTTTGTAAAGGAAAATAAACTCAGAACAGATAAAATTGCCTAATAATTGCTTCTCAAATAAGAATACTAGCAAATTACTATTCCTGAAATTCAGACAAATATTTCTGAAAAGATGTTGGAGAGGGACTTTTTACAAGAGCATGTAGTGGTAAGGGGCAATGGGTTTAAACTGAAAAAGGGGTAGATTTAGATTACATCTAAGGAAGAAATTTTTCACTCTGAGAGTGGTGAAGCACTGGAACAGGTTGCCCAGAGAAGTTGTGGATGCCTCATCCCTGGAAATGTTCAAGGCCAGGTTGGATGAGGTTTTGAGCAACCTGGTGTAGTGGAGGGTGTCCCTGCCCGTGGCAGGGGGGTTGGAACTAGATGATCTTTGAGGTCCCTTCCAACCCTAACCATTCTATGATTCTATGTATTATAAGACCTTCTAGATCATCATTAGTAGTAGTACTATCTTAGGTAAATCATAAACTCCTGAACATGGGTCACAAAACCCAACCAATTTTTTAGTTACAACACTGCATATCCACGTTTTATTCTAAGTTCGTTTATACAGTGTCATAGGACTTCAGTAGCCTTCAGAATTCAGGAATAAAGAATCAGTACAGAACATTGATTCCTAATGTTATTTACTAAAAATCTTAAACCAGTAATGTGTATGCTTTTATAAAAATGCAAAATACTTAAAACAACTTAGCAAAATGAATAAATAAACATGAACAGAAGCAAAAATATAACTGATTGCATCTGTCTATGTTATAACATTGTGACAGTAAGCCTGTAAATTTTCAGCAAACCTCATCAGTTTTCTGCAGCACAAGGCCATGTCAGTAGATAAAGCAGAAACATTACTAGATCTAGCGATCTTAACCCTGTCAGAAATAGGCAGTTGGAAGCCAGATGCCTCCTTCTTACTGTTTTTCATTTTAACTAATGAGTTCATCTACTACATTATAGGAAAAATATGGGCTTAAGTTAACTAAATGACATATTCTATGGCTAGTGACCTCATCTTTT